AAAACTTCAATCGGCGATTGTACAAATTCCATTAGTTGTATTGCTTTCGAACAGGATTACTCAATTACTCATCGTTGTGCGATAACGACAGTCTCGTCCAATTAGTACGTGCGCTCGTTGCTATAATAACATTATTATTAATATTAATATGACGAATACGCATCGAAACTAGTTAACTTTAGTCGTCACTTTATCGCGTAGTTTCGAATAACTAAATTTCTATATGTATATTGTTATAGCGTTGCTGGCGATAGCGGCTGCAGGATTGTTTGCTCTCCAGGCGGACGAAAGAGATAACAATGGCTTCCAGATAACTAGGGGACCAGCATTTTATATACAAGTTCGTACAACTTTATTAAACTTATACTTAAACCCAAACAATCTAAGAACGTTAATACTAGAACGTAACACGTACAATTTTTATTCATTTATAATTTCACATTTGATTCAAGATTTTACTTATTAAATTACGTACACATTTCAATGTTATAATAGATAAAATTATATTAATTCTTGTTGATTAAGTAGATAGAAATCAATGGAAAACGTAGGGTCTTAAATTGGCTAATTCCACATTATCAATGAACCCATTATTTCAGTGTCCATTTACGATTTGAATCAGTGATTAATGAAATAGTTCCAGCTTTAATTTCCGCCATTTCCATTTGGAATTGAACTGAATGGTTGAACTAAATATATGATACTTTTGCAGATTACATTTTTTTTTAATTCATGAAAATTCGAGAATAATATTAATTCATAATATTAAGTTAAATATATATATTTTGCATTTACATAATAGACTTTTGAATATTTCTCAGGATATTTCTTCTCTGTGACAAACAAGGATTACTTCCATCAAATCTCAGTGCACGTACCATTCCAACTGCTCTTTCTGCAGAAAACGCGCTTTGTAAAGAAAAACATCAACAATAATAATGTACACACACACTATGTTATGGATTACCGCGATTCGTGTATAAATGTGCTCCGACTGAAATATTTCAGAAAACCTAATAAGAAATTGTTGCTCGTTTCCAGATTATGCTAATACTATTAAATTCAATCCTATTCGTTATGTCGTTGTATGATATGATATTTGCAAGACGCGACGGAGGAGATCCAACGACAGTCACAGCGACGACAGAGGCCACGACGTACGGGAATCCCGGCTTCAGGGATCGACCTAATCCTGGTATTTGCAAATTTCTTCATCTCTCGCCGATGATATTAATGCTTGATTTGTTTGTTTTGAATTGTCAAATAGGACCTGGTGGAATCTCGATGACGGATGCGAGTGGCAGACCGTACTCATCAGCTACGAACGGTAGCATGATGTCGATGAACACTACATCGACGGCCATCGGTTCGAACGGATCCACTTTATCCTCCGTGACTAGATCTCCTTTGCGGTCCAGCCTGAAGAAGCCCAAACCGAACAACGGTCTCGGCATCCAGAATCCCGGATACTCGGGATCATCTCCTACATTCTCGCGAAACGGCAGTGTGAAGAAGGTTCGGATACAAACGCATAGTACTGAAGTGTGATATTTATTTAACAAACAAACAAAAAAAGAAATACTTAAACGTGATAAGCGCAATACAATATTTAAAAACGATCATTATATGAATTACGTATTTAAATTACATATTAATATATTTTACCCTCGATTCAATGCACAAAACTTGATAAGGATTCCCCCCCCCATTCCGTCCATACTCTGATTATTATTATGTAATTGTAATTTTACTTAGTTATATGTACATAGAAAAACATGAATGTTTCTTTGTTAAAACCATTCTAAGAATGGAGTTTTTATCGATTTATAGTTTATTTTATTATTTTTTTCTTGTTATTACCATATTACATATATATAGATACATTTTTTTTTTTGAACGGGCAAGGAAATTCAAACTGTCTGCAATCTACTAAAGATATATTTTCATATTGCGAACGACTACTGTAGAAATGAATATAGCATTGTTTAGCTTGTAAATAAAAGTTATTGCAATTTTTTGAAATTGTTATTTTTATATAAATTATAAACTATATAAATCAATAAAATTTATTCATTATAATTGTAATTTATTCTGTACATCATTTATTTTTCATCCTTTCACTACACATAATTATTTTTAAAACCATGAATATAATATAATTAAATGATATTGATTCAATTAGAACTTTTTATTTTACACGTACAACACAGGGAAAGTTAAAATTTGATCACGTGTTACTTCTTTACTTTCGTGGATGTACACATCTCCAGGGAATGATAGATGAATAATATATGAATGCTTTCTATGGCCATCATTTTACATTCTTTACTTTTTCACGAACTTCTTGTTCCAATAGCAAACTTTGTCCTTTCGTGCTAACGTTAGGAGTGAATGTATTATGTATAAAGACATTTTTTTCTGTAATAAGCAATCTGGCTTTTTTTTTCGAACATATATAATAATAAATTCTGTTATTATTGCTAAAAAAAAATTATAAATTTTGACTTAAACTAAAACGGATGGAACACAATTAAGACCTAATATCGTGATTGTAGGTTAAGTATATAGGTGTATATATCTAGGTAGTCTAGACATTTAGTAAATAATACACAATTAATTTAATAAGAATTGAAAATAATATTAGAAAAAAGGAAACCAACAACATATATTTAGTCAACATATTTAAAATAAAATCTTTTACAATAAATATTTATAGAGTAGTGAATAAATTAAATAAGTTTGTTTTTTTTATCTATATATATAAATATAATAGCTGTACATATACTTAATAATAATTATTATTATTATTATAATTATTCCGAAACATAACAATAACATTAAATATACATTTTTAACTGAAGACTAGATAAACGTCAATATACATAATTATCTGAACACATACAAATGAATAAATAAGTAAATAAATAAAGTAAATATATATAATAATAATAGGTAGTAGTGGAATCAGCGTGATTCCGTCGGTACACTAGAAATCAACTCTCTCCGTTTGTAGACAGTCTGTGATACGTTCGTAGAACTTTTGATATCTTTCTTGGTTTGAGATTCCAATGACTCTGCGTCTGGTATATGCCGAGTTTGGTGTCTGGAATCGGTGTATCGTCGTTTATTGTATTTCTTCTTCTCCGATATTGTGGTTGTGGTCGTCGTCGTCTTCGTTTCAGTCGACGTCTGAGTTATCCTCTCGAAATCCGCCGTCCTCGAGCGAAGAACGGCGTTACCGATGCTGGTAATACTTGGATTGAAACGTTCCTTTTGCTCGGTAAAAACGGGACTGCTCGAACATTTCTGAATCTCGACAGATTTCTTCCGCATCGGAATATCTCTTCTGATGTCCGCAGGTTTTCCCGCTCTTTGGATCTCCGACGTTGAGGTGTATGTTACTTTGTGGAGCATTGGGGACTCCTTCGTCGTCGTTTTCTTCGTCAAATACTTTGGATGCTGTATGTCGTCGGGTATGTAATTTACGGAAGTGTTATGGCTGTCGGGGGAGGTCGGAGGCGTTGAGGCCCACGACGGTGGTGAACTGCACATCCCTGAGGCATCAGCAATGCTACTGGCAATAGATGATGGTGCGGTGTTATGTGGAGGACTGCTGTATGTTAGCGATGATCCGATCGCCGAATCGTAGCCCTGCTGTACGAACGAAATACTTCCAGTGATCGGTTGTATCGCGGATGCAACAGATGAATCGCTACCACTGGTCGACCTGTGCCTCCTGCGTGGTGGAGCTGTAGGTTTCACCATACCTATTATCATCTGGTGCTTGCCATCAGAATAATTATAAGAATCTTCAATGTAAGGAATGTCTTCGTCTATGTTTAATGAGGATGTTTGTACTGGTATTGTCAAACTGGCTGTTAGTATACCGCTCTGATCAAGGAAGTAAGGCGTCGATTTTCTTCGATCCACAGATTGTTGTTCATCCGTAGACTTCATCACTCGGTGATCATCACCCGGCAACGAGCAGCTACTTTCCAACGAGGAAGACCGGGTTTTCGCATAAGCGATTCCATCCCTCGATCGAGAAATACTCGACGTGCTGCTACCGCTGTCTTCATCCTTCCTCAATCTACTCGCGGACTCGTCTCGACGTTTCTTCAAACTGCGCTCTTTAATACGTTCTTTGTGCCTAAAATAATTGAATACCATTTATTATATACACACACAAACACACAATAAATAAATGTACTCACCTAATTCTCATGGCAACATTGGGACCACCGGTAGCCGCAGTTTCGTGTAAACATTCTTCTCTGGAATAAGTCTTCTTCGGTTTATAGGGATCGTCGTCGCCGTGTTTACCATCCTCTAAATATCCAGTTGTGTAACCGGGAGACCGCAGCGATCCATCAGATATCTCGTCTTGCGATCTAAAAGGAGAGGAAAGAGATGTTATGTTATGTTATTTCTGTTCCTTGCATCCTCCGTCTAAACAATCTCTACTTACTCGTCGGCGTAGCCGATCGTCTCACGCTTATTCAGCAAGACGTCCAGCTCGTCGGGATTCGTGTCCATCATATGCACGTAAATTTCATCTAACATCTCAGCAGAAATTGCGAACAAGTTGTGCGAGTTGTCGATCATTGTTCTGATCACGTTGATCACATCGATGCGATCATCGGATCTCTCGCTGGGATCTTTCGAGCCCGGCTTGATGGCGTGCAGGATGTTCGGTGCGAAGATCGTAGCTAAATTCGTCGAGTTCATTTTGTTACCGAGCAGCACCTCACCTTCAACGTAATCGTTTTAATTAATATAGAAGAACGTGCGAACAAGAAGTCGCCTATTTATATATAATACCTAGTGCGTCCGTTTGATCTGCCGAGTGTTTCGCGACATTGGCCAAAAAATTCAATAAAGCCAGCAAGGTGTCTCGATTAACTGACGGTAGCAACTGAACAAGATGTTGTAAAGCTTCCAGCTGCAACCTACGATTTCTTATTCCTAAAATACACATTTACAATATTACAACAACTCTATATAAATTCAAGATTAATTTAATTCAACCAATTCAACCAACTACAAATTACTGCCTTCTTTTATGCGAGTCACATGTGGGCAATTGGTCCAGCATGGCCCTTAAGATGCAATAAACATATAGCAAGCACTCACTTTGTGTTTGGACAAATGCGCTGTATAAATCTCTGCAGAGCAAGGGATCCGGTAAATCTCTTAAATATTCCTTCAGGAGAGTGGCAACATCGTGAGGGCACTGGTCGATATTTAGGACAGATTCTTTTCCGCTATCGAAATCTTCGCGCAACTGCAAATTAAACACGAATTGACAGAAAGTCGTATCGAGTAAATTGAAGTTTTTGCAAAATTACCTGTCGCACGCGTTTCTTGGACGTGCTCACTCGGAATATTCCAAGCGTGTAAAGGCCGTAAATCTCCAGATGTCTTATGCACTCGGTAATTATATGAGGTACAGTCTTTTCCTCCTCGTTGCTTGTTGACCCAGTAATGTCTCCGCTCGAAGAACACAGGATCGCATCGAGAAGACCGGGCACGCTGCCTGCAATCCTATTGTCCCTCGATAAACTGTCGCACGAACCTTTCTAAATAAATGAAAATTAATGCACTTTTTGTATTGAACCATTTGCTAATTAATACAAAACTCTTATTTTCAATATGTGTATAATGAAAAGAAATGTTTTAAACAAAAAGATGCAAAGCTCATTAATTTCAATGAAAGAAATCGACTTTAGGGGTGTTGCTATGAAGAGAATTTATTACTTATTAACTGGAGAAAATTTCATTAAATAAACATTGGATGAAGATAATTTGCAATTAAATTGCTTTTTTTTTCATCGGTCTCGTATACTTTGGTGAATCACAAAAAAACTAATTGATATATCGTTTATTTTCAGGTGAAATTAAATATATCTGTATATAAATGTATATAATGTATACACCCTGAAATGTTTTGGAGAGGATATTACAAAAGATGAGAGAAGTTAGAAGAGTGGAGATTTATCAGGGACGTGTGTCAGGCACGTCACGGATCATCTATTACATCATTCGCGATTGACGTCAGCAGCACGGCTTACTTGGCACCGTGCGATGCGAGTCTCGAGTATTTAACGACGCTCCTCCACTCACTGACAAACAACTGAAAACTCCAGTTGGCAAATCCAAGTGGAATTACAATAAACACAAATATATATAAAACACGGATTTAAATTACCTCGTCCTGTCTAATCGTTGAATCGATCAGAGAACTGAAGCTGGCCCTGCTGCCCGTCCTCGCCATAGGCCTTTGCTCATCGCCAGACGCGTAACAGGCATTGCCGACAGCCCTCACCCTGTCATTATCTATGCATTGCGACAACGGAATTCCGAACACCAATCCCGATCCAGCACCTAAGCTTATGAAAAAGAACAACAGAATTATTAACAAACATATAAATTTATAAACTTATCGAAATTATTATGTTTAAATTAATTATGTATTAGTATAAAATTAACAGTTCCATAAAAACAACTTGAAAGACAAGTGAACGGTTCAAAGTATATTAGTGGAGAGAAGTCCAATAAACAAACTCGTATGACAACAACATGTGGCATGTGCCTGGCGCCAACTACTCATAATTTTACTATTTTTAGTGTACTTGTATCCAATATCTAATATTGTGTTATGCTCAATTATCAACCAACTATTAACATTCAATTAATCAATTCTTTAATCAGTTCCGCACTGTTTGAAACCGCTCTATATACAAATTATATTAATCATATTGAACTTATATTTCGTTTTCTAAAAAGCAATTCAATGAAAATAAAACGGATAATTATTTATATTGAACTTCTCAAAACTCAAATTTTTAATTACAACAATTTCAAACTTTAAATTACAACAATCATCATTTCATTTCTTACGAGAAACTATTCATTATTACATTTTATTTGAACGTGTAAAAAACTTCGTAAATGAATTTAGCACACTTCTACAATTCTGAAACATCCAAAGCGAAACAAACTTAATTAACAAATTGTTTCTATTAGCAAATAATGAAATTCAGTAACTAACTAGTAAATTTCGTAACATTTGAATGTGCGTAGACGAGACGAATCTTGTGATTATTTTTATTCTGAATAAACGCGTAAACTGTGTTTTCTCTCGTATCATCAGACTTACCGATGAATCACGCTCGAGATTTTCCTAAGATGAAATTGGTATTTGCTACATTCCATATTTTACTGCGTAAACGATTTATCATTTATTTATCAATGTGCTTCTCTATTTTAATGGTATTTATATAATATTATTGTAGAGTCTATTCATATTTACACGTGCCATCCTACAAATGAAACACGTGCCCTGCTCATAACGTGTTACTAATACAAATTACATCCACCCTTTACTTTTTACGAACGAGTACACTTGGAACATTTTCAATTGATTGTCGTGACTATCCGTTTAGACAATATTAACTTGTTAATTATTTAAAAATAATTAATTATCAAACTTTCAATGTAATAAAAATACTTTCATAAATTTCGAAAATTCATACCAATAGAAATTGTAAAATTTCAATGATTATTACATTTATTTCTTTGAGTAAATAGTTAATATAAATAAGTTCAATACAATATGTTCTAGAAGAATGTATTCACTTCAAAATATGACCAATAGTGAGTGCCGTCTGCACTCGAATTAAACGAGACACCGAAAATATGCCAGTGATAGTCATAAAATATCTGTGCTGAATCATCTCACTTTTTTCAGATATTTAAAAACGATACAAAATTTTATTATTTTATTAAACTATTAAACCATTTTTTTGTATTCAATTATTAGTATTATAATTATTTCAATGCTTTCATTATAACAGGCAAGATTTTAAACTGAAACTTAAGAGTATAACAAAAACTTCAATTACATTTAACAACGTTATATTGTAGAGTTTTCACGTAAATCCTCGTACACTAAGAGCATTACAGTCTCAATTTCTTTGAGAGAACTTTGATAAAATAAAGTTTCCAACTTGCCCAAGCAGTGGCGAATGGTCAGCAACATCTCCGGTTATATTGTTTTAATGGAATTATACAGTGAAGGTAATCTAATATGAAATGCTTTTAACAGAGTATCTTTAAAAAAAATGTGTGTATTACGGTGGATCGATAAGAGTTTTGTAACGAGGTTACGAGAACGGGTGAAGCATTATTAAATAAACAAAAAGGGTTTAGTAAAAGCGCTAAAACTTTTTGATCGAAGCTTTTAATATGACAGGATTTATTTGCATAGTAATGAGTACAATATTGAAATAATTTTTATAATGAATAACATATTAATGTTATTAGTAGCTCGTATAAATCCAAATAATATTCAACTCTATTTCTTATATATTTCTTAGTTTCAATAAAAATATAAAATGTAAATAAGACAATTCCAATCAAAATGCCTAAGAAATATTATTATTACAAGGTAACAATAGCAACATTTAGTAGTAGATACCAAGATAGACTAGAGTCACATACTAATGTTCTGGCTATTGGCCTACTTGACAACAGTGAAACAACAAACAGGTTGAAGAGTTGTAAACCACTAGATTTAGTATATAGATTTAAGTAATTATTAATGTTCAAAATCATCAAAATGATAATTATCCACTGGGAAAGATTACCTACCTAATGTCAACAGCGATCTTAAATTTATTCAATGTTTGCATTAATGAACAGAGTGTGAATAAAAAAAATCAGTTCATAATATGTTTCGTTATAATTTCTAACTCGAAATTTGAATAGAAGTTTAGTTAGGTTGATCATATTATATTATGAAAACTTTGAGCTATTCAATTGTGTGTCCTAGTCAGTGTTGATCTATATATAAAGTCCAGTGTTTGATCTTAATGCAATAATAATTGACATAAATATATTAAAATATTATTTGCAATCTAAGATCTTAACTATACAGATTTTTATTGATGTAAGAGTTTCGAGAAATATTATGAAACTTAAGGAAATCATAAGTCATTAAGAACTTATAATACTGAAAATAATTCATACTGAAACAATAGTTAGTGAATGACCTTGATATCAAAGGTCAGTTGAAAGCAAAACCTTCAATGAATAAAACTAAAATTTGTTAAAAAAATAAATTGAAAATTGTTCTTTATGTATTTTATATGTAAGCCAAAGAACAATTAGATTATTAGTTATTTCTTAAAGAAAATGATAGGTAAAATAAGATGGAAAAGGTAAATTCGAGAAAATTACGCTTCAGATAAACAAGCTTTGGTCCAAAGATTAATGTGTGCTTCTCAAAAATTAATAAAAATATTTACGCAATTAAATGGTGCTGTGCAACCTTGTATGTTTTTCGCAGTGTCTATATTTACTGCAAAATGTGTTTGTGCGTGTAAGACTGTTTCTTGTAGCTACGAGTAAGTGTTTGAAGGGTAATAGATAATGCAGCATTCGGCGAGACGGGCGGGAATCAATGGTGCGAGGTAAAAAGGCAGAAAGGTTAATTTTACTCTCTTTTTTTTTCTTTTAAATTTTTTGGCTGACGGACAATGGCTTCGAACGTTCGCGCGCGCGAATTCTTCTGGCTTTCTCTCTTACAGTTTGGGCGTGTTAAAAATAAAATATATTGTATTTTTTTATATTTAGCTGCAAAATGTGTGTGCGTGCGTTAAAAATATACGCAATGTGTTGAATAAAAGGTATCCGAATTAAATTTAATCGAGCAAGTGGGCTTTGAGATTTTCAAAAATAGTGAAGTAAACAGGCCAAGATTCCTCCGTGCAGGAATCCCAACGTCGTTCGCATTTTTTTTTATGAAAAGGAATGCGAATCTGTAATCGAAAAGGATGCGTGCATTTCTACAATACTCGATACAATACGGACTTTATTATTGTTGAGGCAGGTTATCAGCATCCAAAAACCCATCCCTCGGTTTTCGATCCGGCCGCACGTATTTCTGTACAATCATATGACCACGGGAATGCTGGGAATCCGTATTTTGTGTATAAATATATATATACATATACAAACACCTATATCTGTTTTCCTTTTTCATTTTTTTTTTTGTTGCCTGAGAGAAAAATAACCCGGCTTCCAAAATAAGTGTCGCTCCGCATTCATTCGCAACGAGCATTGAGAATACTGGGTGGATGCTACTGCTACCTACTCTACTACTATCCATACAGTTTGATATTGCATGCATATATACACTTCGGATTTATTTATTCTTTCGAACGGGATTGATGTTCGAAAATAATCGAACCCGGTGTATTTACGGTATGCGATTGCTTGTTACTACACACACACGTCACGAGGCACGATTTACAAGAAGATCGCGCAGAAAATACCAATTTTTTTACTCATTTTTTCTAAACCGCGCCATGTTTACTAATTAGAATTTTTAATTAAAATATTTTCGCAGGCTTACCAGGTTTATTTGGTTTGGCTGTAAACACATCTAAAGCTCGTATTTACATTTAAAAAGTTATGTTGATAACAATAAGCCCCGGTTGTTGATTCATATTTCACACGTTCATTTCACAATTTCAATTTTCAATTTGATTAATATTGTTGTCTACGTCGACTTGACGAATTATTTTTAAATTCACCGAAGCGCAGGCGATTTATTTAAAGGTCGATCGATGCTAACGAACTCCAGATTAAGGAGTTTTTCGGGAACGCAAATAGTCCTGATCTTATTTGGAAATGGGAAGAGCGCGAGGAAAACATCATCATAGATGGAAAGCAACGCTTCTTGTTACACAAGATTCCGGCTTTCTATCGATGATGAAAGCGCCTCTTAATGACATCAGATCAGAATTGAAGACGCATTATAAAAAACACAGATAATCTTATATTCGCCAACTGACCTTTATCTTTGTCTGCATCCTTTCGACTCGTGTCGAAAATACCAGTTGTGAGCGCTTTCCTCTTCAATAAATAAGGTCTCCGTTTCTTCGGTACAACAACCACATTATCTAAAACAAATTACATTCATTATTAAACAAAACAACTATAATGGTATAGAAAACTTTAGTTCGTTATTTTTTATATAAAATTAGCAGACTTACCAGAAGGTACTTTAACGGTGACACCAAGATTTAGAGCTTGCAATTTATCCAAAGCAACTTTCTGAAGGATTTTCCTCTCGACGTCGCTGAGGTGTTGCAGCGTCGTGTCTGCAAGGATAACTTGCTTTCCAGTAACGCTAGTCCATATACAAGAACCCTGCAATTATCAAAAATGATGTTTTTTTTTTATTACAATTACAAACATTATTATTACTATTATGAAAGTTTTACTATTATGTTATTTTTTCAATAATTTAATTTATTCTCAATAGTATATTTGGTAATGTCTCGAGAGATCTACTTTACATAATGAAGACGGATAATTTCTGTCCTCGTGGATAGCTTCATTTGCATTCTATGCATAATACTGATCCACAAAAGGTGATGACTATCTCGGATCTTAGACCCTAATATTTCACACTAAATTAATTATTCATAAACTGCTTTATCTAACATAGACCAGAGAAGCTAGTAAAGATAAACTTATATTAGCTAATAATTAATTTAGTATTGATATATTTTAACAGTATACATTCCTCGATTAGTCAGATTACCCGCACTATGCGAGGTACACCACATGTAAGGAAAGCAAGTACTTTTATTAGCAATGACTACCACATTTTCAACGCGCGTCAATAAACACACTAAATAAACATTACAAAACATGTTCCCATTTTTTTATTCTGAAAGACAAAGTGGTGATGATCAAAGGAAAACTTGCAATGGCGACAAGAGCGTTGCTGCATTCCACATTACGATTGTTTCCTAAACAAACATGTGCAAATATAAACAAGTAAGTAAAATTTTGTATAGTGTATTATAAAAATTCCCTCACATTTCACTGATAATCTAAATTCATTTAATTTCATCGAATTATTATTAATAAATATTAGTAATCTCACAAAATTGTATTGACTTAATTGGAAGCAAAATCATGAGAAAGTTGTAAAATATTTCTTGAAGAATTAATGGTTTTTTGACAGAAATTACAACATGAAATGTATACTTTAAGGTTTGCCAAAGAAACATGAAGACATCATGAAACAATTGTAGATTCAAAATCGATATAAAACTTTATAAAAATAGAATTTTACCACGATCGACTTTATTTCATTTCTAACCTTTGCTATATATATAAAAACCATCTACGACGTGATTGCAAGATATTATTATACTTTTAAAATAAATAACGTGCACAAATTCATAATTTTGATGGAAGTAGACATCATCAATCAGAACGTTAAAGAATACAGACAACCACTTGTCGACTTGTTTTATTATCTGACATAGCGTAATGATTCATACAGTTAGTAAGAAAATATTTTATGATTCACAATTTTTTTTCCTATCTGTCGACCACTAATAAAAAAAATAATGTTGAATATAGATATTCCTAAAAATAACGAGTTGTCTAGTGCGTGCGAGATTTTTGAACTTTTCTCGACGATTCTTGAATGTGCTTGGAAGAGAGAAAAGAATAAAAACAGAATTCTCAATTGCATTACAGTAAATATGTTTTCATTTTCTCGACACGTTCAGCATTGGAAAGCGCCAATAGCTGGAACAAATTGCGTTGCGTCCTCTCAGATGGATGAATCCCAGACAATCGTGTTGTACACTACTACTCCTCCTCCTCTGAATCAGAATCAGAATCGAATGGAGTGAACAGAAGGTGTCGAGGACATTGAGGCGTGTAATGCAATTGTGCAGATTTTCAGGACTCACGCATATTCATCAACAAATGTCGCGTATGCAAACCGATTTGGCGCTCATTATTTTGTGCCGAAGCCAAAGAAACGAATTAAATTTACTTTATTTATATAAAACGATGAAAAATTGCGATTTAATGCATGAACTAGATCGAAAGAATATTTGCTAAAGCAATCTCAGTTTTAATGAACATTTCCAATGCACGGTTTGTCAATGCCACGTGACATTTCGTCTCTATATTTAAATGAGTTTTTGGAAAAGTTACAATTGGAATTTTATATTAAAATTTCTGCAGTCCCCAGTTTAATAAAAAACTTTTTCATCTTTCATATTTCTTATACGAAATAATTAATATATTTAAATTAGTTCATCTTACTTTATGTAATAGAAAAAAAAATGTACAAGTAGTAAAAATATAGATCATAAATATATAAATGGAAACTAAAATATTGATGTATACGACATATTGGAAATAACAAATGCTTTTAAAGTCCTGGACCGACGTCCACCAACTTGATCCTCGACCGAGAGCAAATATTGAGTTTTTTTCTTTTTCGATTCAATGCCGCCCCCGAAGTCCGGGCTTTCGTTGGAAATTTCATCCGGCCTACGGGGAGATTCCAGAATAATCCTACTTTGTGCACCCGAGAATCTAATGGTCCGAGCAAAAAAAAAATAGGAAATACCAGCGATTTTGTGTACGCCGAACCCTCAATAAGGATGTGTAACAATAAAACACGCTATATTTTTTTTACTGTAAAAGCAGCATTGCTGTAAGCTTTTAGGAGGATTATTTATAAAACTGTTGTTTCGTAAAAATATGCGACAAGGTAAAACGGAGCAGTCTACAAATGTCTAGTTATTTTCAAATAATTGAAGGTCGCTTTTATCGCGACGTCCTACACTATTTCAAAAGACGAGAATCTATACGCTTTGTAATACCTGATCATTTTAATCATCTCTGAAGACTTTGTTATGCAGGCCGTTATGATCACAGAAATAATAATTAGTTGTCAAGCGACTTCGTAAACATGTATTGATTTGTGAATTCTTTTTTCTACTTCCTTAAGAAACTTCTGCATCCGTACTGCCAATAACGTAATTCCATCCAAGTTCTCCAACTCATTTCCTAGAATACAAACTAAGCCCCCAAAACCCACCCCCAATATGCATCACGTTTGTTTACGCAATAAGAAAGTATTGATTGAATTTCCAACGTTATTTTCGTCGCGCATGAACAATTCCATTATTTGCAATGAATAAAAAAAAAACGTACACATCAGCAAATTAAATGTTCCCATTCAATAATAATAAATTGTGTATGCAAGTTATTTTCTTCGCTTGAAACATGCACGTTTCGTTAGCGCTGCTGCTCCTACTAACTACGTCAAACGTTATTTCACAAAAGTGGGTCTTGTTTCTAAAGCTAAAAGTGTAAATCGTCGCATGGCTGTATATTTACATTGACTTATTTCTATATAATAATAATAATTATGAGAAACAATTGCGGCAGCTGGAAACACTAAATAGTCGGTAAAAATAGCTCGTGCCAGTGTTGTCAGCATTAATTTTTCCCGTTTTCTTTTCACATCGAAAATAAATCGTTGTGAAATATTCACCACCTATGAAAATCTACGTGGAAGCAAAAAACTGGAAATGCTCTCTCCACTAATCTCATTCCCTGACCCGAAGTATTTCGGATCGTATTACCGCGAAAATTGCGTAACTATGCAACAACGTAATCCAATTGGAGTGCAGCTTGTCCAAAGACTTAACAAAAAAAAAAAAAAGACGGACGAGACTGGAAGCAAAAGCGCGCTAATCTTCCTGATGCGATTAACGTTTGTTCTTTGGCAAAGAACGTGGAGAGAGAGAGAGAAAAATAAAAAGAACAGGAGAAGAGTTTGGAGAGACTCTTCCATCGTCTTCTTCAAATCTTTCACAGAGATATCCGAAAATAAACCATATTTGTTTATTTTGTTTCGTTCTTTTTATAGTGAGTAGAGTACGGAATTAGAATCTTGTGAAATTTTTGTTCGAATTTAAAACGTTGTAAATTTTATTTTACTTATCTTCGGGTTTTTCATTTTCTTTTCTTATTTTCGGTGCGCATTGCAATCATAATTTTCGCCGCATCGCTTAAGAAAACAAACGAAAAATCGTATTGTTGTGCGAACGAGCAGCCATTTTCAAATCATCGCTGTCTTCCGTTAAATCCGATTAATAACTATTATTATCACTTGAAACACAACGAAATTGTATTAATGAAGTACAAATGAAATTTTACGTACGCTTTTACTGCTTTCCCATTAACTGAAGGATTATTAACAGAATTATTAAGACATGTATGTAAGCATTGTGTAAAGCCTTCGACGATGGAAGAGCTCTCGTCTATTAGTATTATAGTAATAATACGTGTCCATCGCTTTTTATGTTTATTACTAAACACCCGGAATTTGGACTGCAACTGAAGATTAGCCTGGAATTGGGCTTTCCATTTAGAAATATTGACCTCATTAACTTTTAGTACATTTCGCCCTTACTATCCTTGCTAATAACTAATCGAACTTCATCAGCCCCATTTAAACTTGTACATTTCAACTTCCAATTACGTTATAATCTTAATTACTAGTTTTTGAATCTCTCAATCCTTATTGCACTTTTCAAATATTTTTTCTCAAAATAAAGTAAATAATTTTTTTTTTAAATAAAATGAAAAAAAATTAACATATAAGATTTTTTTAACAAATAGATTTTTAAAAGCGCTATTTTCTAAATCAAGAAAATAAATACACAGACGCCATCTGTTATGACACCAGAGAGATTAATGATAGTTACAGAAGCAAAAAAAAAGAGCGAAGCGATATTAAAACAAATATCCAGCAAATATTCGATAAATTTAGATTAATGAACGCCTGTGTGTGTTAATTGTGAATTGTAGCTGCTGCTGCTTCTGCTTCTATCCGAGATGAGCTCTCTGTATCTTTGTGCTGGAATTATTTCAGCTTTGCTAGAGGTTGGCGTAATAGAAAATGTAAAGCTATGTAGAAATTTACATAAATATTTAAAGCGATTAAAATAAACAGTGTAGGTTTATGTTTAATAGTTAAATTTTAAAGTTATGTATAGTATTTTCACTTGTAAACACGCGCGTGTTCCGTTTAATACAATATATTTTAAATCGGAACTCGAATAATTCTCAACTCATCGTCTCAGCTGCATTAAACATCATTAAGTTTGTAACTTAGTGGTGTTTCGGTGTAGTAAAAACGATTATGTATTAAGGATAATTTAGTTTGTAGGAATTGTTGGTTTTATTTGAGAGAAAGATACGTATAATTTCGGCATTTGAATTAAATACCGAACGGTCTGAGGCGTGTATTTAAAAGACTATAGCACGCAAAAATAGAATTCACCATATAAACAAATACTCTATTACAAAATAAATTTCTTTTAAAAATATATTTTTCTCATTAATTTCATTTTATTTACGACCTTCGAGCAAAAAAAAAAACTATTTACATTTTCTAAAAGCAAAACAGAAGCATGGATTAAGAATAATAAGTAGAAGAAGAAGCATAAGTAGAAGTTACCTTTGGAGTCCAAGTGGAGGGCTGCTGGGCAGTCCGTGATTGACTCTTCGAGCGTTTGAAGATTGTCTTGGCCATGAGCCGACTTCCATGGTGGACAACGCTGGAAGAGGACTTGGACTTTTGCATGGCCAATCCTGCTGAAGATTTATCATGAGAATGTTTGTTTAAGAGGTGCGAGAGAAATGAATGGGATTTGGTGGTCGGGGAGTTCGGGTGGATAGCCTCCTCCGATGGGTTATTATAATAAGCGGTGCTAGATGAAGAATCAAGAGCACTCTCGAACTTTAAATCGCGATACGTTAAAATCCATTCGTCGTTCGTTTGGCAGCCCTTGTTTAGTCCGTCGTCGTCGCCCGGTTTCGTGATTTCGCCTTTCGCTTTGATATTACGCAAATTCCGGTCGTAGTTTACACGCTTGAACCGATCAACTTTATCCGAATCCGCACTTTTCTTCCGAGCCATCCGCAAATACCGCTTTATTGTATCACTCACTGATTGCGATACATCGTCATGGTCGACACTGCTCTTCCGCCTGGACCCTGAGGGCCGGGAATCACGCTCCTCTTCCTCCCTTTCCGCCAACAACTTCTTGTATTCCTCTTCGATTTTACACAAATCTTCGTCGGGGATTTGATCTGTCTGAATGCCGCCGTCTACATAGACGGGCTCGACACTTTCACCCTGTATTTCGATTAACGGCGGAGGAACGGATTTCCTGTAATCGCTAATATCTTGCTTATTCTTTGTGCTCCTCAGCATCGATTGGTCCCACAGATAATTGGGTGGCGTATAGCTGTAATCGCGTCTACCCTTAAAACCCCTCGTCTGCCTTAAGTCAAAATAGAGTTTTTGCAGGGCTTTTCTATTCGTAAGTAAGTCTGATATGATCCTATCCCTGCTCACGTTTTGACTGAAATATCTATTCAACGTTTCGGTGAGGGATTTTTGCAGATGATCCCCTTCGAAGTGGACATTTTCGCGTTTCGGAGATAATTTAGTTTCGGTTTGAACAGGAATGTGCGTTGCAACTAAGTGTTGTTGCAATTTGTCAATTAGCATTTGATAGTCGAAATTCTTCACCGATTCTCCTTCGGATATTTTCAGGTAAGTTTCTAGCATATTTACCAGCATCGATTCATCGTCGTCCTCGTGCGTGGGTGTGTTAAAAGCAGACTTGGTTCTTGGAGTAGATGGAGTAACAGGTGAATTTAGAAAGTCATATTTCATTTTCTGTATGTCGAAGCGGCCTCCTGACGTTGACGCATACAGTGGTAAGTCTTTGGGCCTCTGCGGTTTGATATCGTCGACTTCGTCCGCGGAGCATGCTTTGCGGCAGCTTCCGCCTTTTCGCCGATCTTTCCGTTTCTTCCGGAATCCCAGTGCTCCCGGGTACGAGTTTTTACGCCAGAGAAGAAATCTCGGCTCTTTCTTACATACCTCCTGGAAGTAGGACTCGATTTGAGGGATATCTTCAGGGCGGTTTTGCGTCCCATCTGGAATTAATTTTCGACCAGCGTCTGCCATGTACCTCCACGTTTTCCTGGTGAGAAGCCATCGTTCCTTCGGTTTCTTAATCTTACGTTTCACTGGCAAATCGAATTGAATCTCAGAGCTTTCCGTCGAGGCGCTTTTTATAAGTTTCTGTCTGCGTTTTATCATGCGCTCGGCCATTATTAGAAAAGAATTTCTATTTTAACAATTGACCACTATTCTTTTTTAATTTCATAATTCACCTGCTACTCAAATATGCGCACCTGGCATATTACCAATTAATCTGGTCGCACGAAGATTTCCTTCCTAAGGCAGCGCTTCTTCT